TCTCTCATCTCTCTCATCTCCCTCTCTCTCATCTCCCTCTCTCTTATCTCCCTCTCTCTCATCTCCCTCTCTCTCATCTCTCTCTCTCATCTCCCTCTCATATATCTCTCATCTCTCTCTCATCTCCCTCTCTCTCTCATCTCTCTCTCATCTCTCTCATCTCTCTCATCTCTCTCATCTCTCTCTCATCTCCCTCTCTCTCATCGCCCGCTCTCTCATCTCCCTCTCTCGCATCTGCCTCTCTCTCATCTCCCTCTCTCTCATCTCTCTCTCATCTCTCTCTCATCTCTCTCTCATCTCCCTCTCTCATCTCTTTCATCTCCCACTCTCTCATCTCTCTCATCTCTCTCTCATCTCCCTCTCTCTCATCTCTCTCTCATCTCCCTCTCTCTCATCTCTCTCATCTCTCTCTCATCTCCCTCTCTCTCATCTCCCTCTCTCTCATCTGTCTCTCATCTCTCTCATCTCCCTCTCTCTCATCTCCCTCTCTCTTATCTCCCTCTCTCTCATCTCCCTCTCTCTCATCTCTCTCTCATCTCCCTCTCTCTCATCTCTCTCTCATCTCTCTCTCATCTCCCTCTCTCTCATCTCTCTCTCATCTCTCTCTCATCTCTCTCATCTCCCTCTCTCTCATCTCTCTCATCTCTCTCTCATCTCCCTCTCTCTCATCGCCCGGCCTCTCATCTCTTTCTCTCATCTCTCTCATCTCCCTCTCTCTCATCTGCCTCTCTCTCATCTCCCTCTCTCTCATCTCTCTCTCTCTCATCTCTCTCATCTCTCTCTCTCATCTCCCTCTCTCATCTCTTTCATCTCCCACTCTCTCATCTCTCTCTCATCTCTCTCTCATCTCCCTCTCTCTCATCTCTCTCTCATCTCACTCTCTCTAATCTCCCGCTCTCTCATCTCTCTCATCTCTCTCATCTCTCTCTCATCTCTCTCTCATCTCTCTCTCATCTCTCATCTCCCTCTCTCTCATCTCCCTCTCTCTCATCTCCCTCTCTCTCATCTCCCTCTATCTCATCTCTTTCTCGCATCTCCCTCTATCATCTCCCGCTCTCTCATCTCTCTCATCTCTCTCATCTCCCGCTCTCTCATCTCCCGCTCTCATCTCCCGCTCTCTCATCTCCCGCTCTCTCATCTCCCGCTCTTTCATCTCCCTCTCTCTCATCTCCCGCTCTCTCATCTCCCTCTCTCTCATCTCCCTCTCTCTCATCTCCCTCTCTCTCATCTCCCGCTCTCTAATCTCCCTCTCTCTCATCTCCCTCTCTCTCATCTCCCGCTCTCTCATCTCCCTCTGTCTCATCTCTTTCTCGCATCTCCCTCTCTCATCTCCCGCTCTCTCATCTCTCTCATCTCCCTCTCTCTCATCTCCCTCTCTCTCATCTCCCTCTCTCTCATCTCCCTCTCTCTCATCTCCCTCTCTCTCATCTCCCGCTCTCTCATCTCTTTCTCGCATCTCCCTCTCTCATCTCCCGCTCTCTCATCCCTCTCATCTATCTATCTCATCTCTCTCATCTCCCTTTCTCTCATCTCCCTCTCTCTCATCTCTCATATTTCTTATCTCTCTCATCTCTCTCATCTCTCTCTCTCATCTCCCTTTCTCTCATCTCCCTCTCTCTCATCTCTCATATTTCTTATCTCTCTCATCTCTCTCATCTCTCTCTCATCTCCCTCTCTCTCATCTCTCTCTGATCTCCCTCTCTCTCATCTCCCTCTCTCTCATCTCCAGCTCTCTCATCTCTCTCATCTCTCTCTCATCTCTCGCCCTCTCATCTGTCGTTATCATCACTCCCTGCTAGTCGAGCGTGAAGGCTTTCTCTCTCGAATTAAGTTTGACGTCTGTAACCGCGAAAACAAGATGTCAAATATTTGCCCTATGAATGAGATAGCAACAACACAAAATCCATTCTCCGCGTATGGCTGTTAAAAATGCAGGCCTGGGTGTTTTTGCTTTGCGCGTCCGGGTGTTCTTTTTTCCCTTCTGTTTAGGCCTCGGTTGCTCTGAGGTTTCACGCTCGAGCATCGAGACAAGATTCGTGAGGCTAACCCGGCCACTGCCTTCCCGCACGGGGCAGCCTTGCCATTTAAAAATAATGTCCGGCGTTTTGTAGAAAATTAAACCTTGCCAAAGCTTAAATAAAAATATATATCAAACGAACACACGGATCAAACGGGAATACAGCGTGCAGTGGATGTGTTGGCAAAATTTGAGTCTTCAATTATTTTGTGATTGGATTGCCACCTGCCTGGGTTTGACCCAGACAACCAGGAGTATGGCACCTGTGCATGTGTACGTATGTATGCTGAACTTCTTTCTTACCGTACGTAGCCAACCGTGTTAACCACAGGTACTTGTGGTTAACGCAGTACTTAATTCCTCGCCAGAGGTATCTCTTGTGTGATTGGACATCTTAATACCTCCTGTTTTATTGCCAGAAAGGGTCAAAACTATTATAATTTTTCATATTTTAATATTGGCAAAAAGGTATCCCATGATACTGCTGCTCACCCCGAGGTTTAAATGCTCTGATACGTGTGGCATTGCCCTTGTCCTGTTCGCCTTTTGGCGTCCTTCTCTGATCTGACGAGGCCATGAAAAGGGTTGCTATCTCTGGTGCAGGCCAATAAGTTTCAAAGGCAATGCAATATATTATTATCAGAGCTTGTTTGTTTGCATGATCACCACAAGTACGTGTGGTTAATGCAGACTTGATTCTGTACAAGAGGTTTCTATTTGGTGTTTGAACATCTTAACACCTCCTGTTGTATTGGCAGAGAGGGTAAAACCTATTCTCATTTTTAATACTTTTATTCTCGCAAAAAGGTATCCCACGATATCTAACCGGAGGCGTTGCCACCCCACCTGTGTTGGGATGGCAACAGGAAGTGAGTTGTACCGTGATCTGGCACCGGTGTTTCTGTGCTGAACTTTATTACAGGAAAACTGCACAGTTTTGATCATATAACTAAACTAATACTATTAAACTATATTACTATTTCACCAGGTAAGGCCCCACTGAGCTGTACATCTCTTTTTGAGCAGTGAGCTGGCCATCGCAAATGGTGGCGCAACGGAAGTGGCTTAACATCATGTGGAAATTTATCGCAGACAAATACTCGAAAAACCGGAGGACGCAAAGAAAAATCCAAGCGACCACGGGGAGAACATGCAAGCTGGCGTCAGGGTCGGGATCAAGCCCACGACCTCCTGTATACCAGGAGAGGGAGCTAAACGTAGACCCATAGGCTGCCGGATATATGTTGGAAGTGAAAATGGTGGCAACCTGACCCAGGCTCACTTATAAACATAAGCGCATACAGTATATTAATTTACCTGGATAAAACCTTCATGTGCAACACCTAATTTGTGACGTGCAGCCAGTGAGACGACGAGAGAGTTCCTCTCCGCCGTGTTTCCTGTAGCCAGCCTCCTGCTGTGCGTAAATGCGAGGCTCCACGTCGCTCTCGGCGCCGCTGCCGTCCCCTGCGGAGTCCGGACGATCGGGCCGGGGGGGGGCGCGAATTTCATCCGCAGCGGGTGACGTCCCCGTTGAGCGATGCACAAATAAATAAATAACGCGGATAAATAAATGAACGCATCCATCGTTCCGGATGAGCGCCCGCTGGGTTTCTCCTCCCCGCTCCGCGAGTGCCTTCCCAGCTCCACGCCCGCCCCCCCCCCCCCCCGCCTACCCACCCCCGGAGCCAGCAGGAGGCATTGTGGTGGGCCTTTGGTCGGCGCGTGATTCAATCCGCGGGTCTTCTTCGTCGATCCACCGTTGCATGGACGGCTTCGCCGCGCCGGTCCGCGCCGGTTGCGGGGTGCGGTGCCTGGGACCGGTTCGGATATGGCCACGCGCCGCTGGCGTTGGCCGTCAATGGAATTGGGGGGTCGCCGGGTTCACTGGCGCGGTGCGCTGATCGCCGCTGCCGCCAAGCGACCGCTGCGATGCTGCCGGTAACGAAGCCGATGAGCGGATTCTTATTTGAGTTTTTTTTTCACTTGATGATTGCGAACGATCCGCCGACGCCGGCGGTGGCGAGTGAGGGCGGAGTAGATGGCGCTGGCCACCCGTGCGGGGGAGTGGCCCATGAGCCCCCCCCGGCGGTGCCAGCACGTGGCATCTGAACCGGTTCGAACACACAACACCGCTACGCTGCTGCTGGCTCCCTCTCCCACACGAACGATTTCAATGTTAGGTCGCCGATTTTATTCAATCGTTTTTTAACCGCAAACACATTTGTCTTTTTGGGAAGTAATTATTTGAATGGGGTGGGGCGGAGCGGTAGTTATGTACTTACGTGTGTTGAATCTATTTCGCGCCGCACGTAACCAACCGTGCTAATTGGAGGCGCGATTGCCAAATAAATCGGTAGCCTGCCGCCTAAATCGGTGCGGTTGGCAAGCGTGCACCGGGGCAGTGGTTCCCAACCGGCGGTTTGCGCGCCCTCCGCAAGGCCGCGGGAGGCGGTCCGTGGAACCAGCGCGGGTACGACGAGTTCTCGTTTTCGTAGAACTCCGTCGCCTCGATCTTACCGCACCATGGTCCACGAGAAGGCGTTGATCCACCGGAAACCACCACAACACGCGTTGTTGCGCACGCCGGAGACGCCTTGCCCGGTGTCAGTGTGCGCGCGCGTCTGTGTGTGTGTCAGTGTGCGCGCGTGTGTCTGTGCCGTGAGCGGTAGTGTAGCGGTTAGCGCGCCGCGCTCACGAACCCGGCGAGCCAAGTTCGATTCCCGCTCACGGCCAACATCAGTGACAGTTATCTGAAATGGTCCTGGGCCTCCCTTAGGTCCACCCAGCCTGCAACGAGCGCCTGGTGCAGTGTCTAAACATCGTCACTCGGGACACAAAGGTGGCCGTGCGTGGTGCTGCCCGCCCACCCCTTCTTGCGCCGTGCCGGCCTTCGCAGGCGCTCGTCGCTCACGGCACTTGCCCCGGCACTCCGCGAAGGCTATCCCGGGGTGAATCTTTGTCTCTTGTGCCGCGAGCGCAGGTGCAGGTGGGCCCGGCAGCAGGTGGCGCTCCTTGAGCACCTGTCCCCCCGGCTCCCACCGGCGCTGAGGATCCGGCCGCGGCCGCCGCCGCAGCCGCGATGCCGGACAAGAAACTGATGCAGGACGACCCGGGCGACGCCAGGGTGGGGAACCGGAACTTCTACGGCAACGCCGCGGACGGCCGCGCGTTCCGCCCCGTGGGGCCGGGCCCGGTGGGCCGGGCCCTGGTGGGGGCGTTCGAGCGCGAGCCGGCCGGCTGGGCGGACGAGGGCGGCTGGTACGAGCGGCTGCCCCCCCTCTACGCGCCGGCCAACTGGGGGGCGGTGCTCAACCTGCCCGAGATCGAGGAGTGGCTGCGGCGCACGGCGGAGCGCGTGCGGGACCTGGCGGAGTTCGTGCAGCACGACACGAGCAACCGGCACATCGACTTGCACCTCGTGCAGCTCAAGGTCGGCGCCGCACGCGAACCCCCCCAAACCTCACCCCCCGCGGTGGGGGCAAAGGGTCCCCCCCCCCCCTCCGACGCGTGACGATGAAGGCGCGGCGCACGAGCTGTACGTGTGTGGCTTGGACTTCTTTCGCGCCACCGTACGTGGCCGGTCGCGCTGAACAGGTCTGGAGAAAACGAGTTCTCGTTAACGTCCAAACTTAATACTAAAATGCATTGATGAGTTTCATTCTCAATTGTTGCCTTGGGTGCAATTGTCGATTGGTGTTGCCGCACAATTTAATTAAGCACGCGTACAGTGCGGGATCGATGCTGCGAGATATTGAGATTTTCTCCCGTATACTCGGCCGGACACGGGGAACGTAACCCCCCGTTCCCCATGGAAACGCGGCCTGCACGTTCGCGAATTCTTCTCTCGCATAGATTTTCAAGAACCCAACCCCTCGCGAATGTCGAGGTCTTCACCGTATTATAATTTATTATTCTTGATTTTTTTTTTCAGCAGCCTGCGCGCACTTTTCACTTCTCGTGAAGCTTCTCGTCATTTACCGGGAGCGCTAGAATGGGTTTCCGTGAAGCTGTTCGTTCTCGGTCGGGCGGGATGAGGTGGCCACCTCCTGAGGTTCAGAAACCGGGGCCCATCACGGGCGGAAGGTCTCATAACAGCGTGGCCACGCGTGCAACGCACGGAGCGACGTATTCAAATGTATAATTATTGCTGCTGCTGTTGTTATTACATCTCATCCCCCCCCCCGGGAGGACTTGCAAATTACCCAGGACAGCAGAAGCTGCTGATGATGATGATTCTCAATCTTTGCCGTCTCTCTCTCTCTCTCTGTATGTCTCCTCTCTCTCTTCTCGTCCAGTCCCCTTCACTGGAACAAACTTCCCCCTCCATATTAAGCGCTCCCCTTCGCACACTTAAGTTTCCGCTCCGCGCTCAAAACTCTCTTACTGTTACCCCTAGCTCACTCCACGAACCCCCCCCCCCCCCCTTTTAATCTCCCCCTCATAACCGCCACCATTACTGTTCCCTCTTCATATTCTCATTCCATGGCTTTCACTCATCAACCCATTCAATCAATCTACACGTCATCATTTGCTGCCATCAATTTCACTTTCACGCAATTCACGCATCACAGATTTGCCCATTGCTTCCTCTCATCTATGTCATTCACCTCATCTCCACCATTGCATCCATATGTACCGTTGTTAACTCCGTGTAAACCGCCTTGGATAAGGCGCTCGATACGTTCCTTTAAGATAAGATCCTGGTGTGTGTGGGGGGGGGGGGGGAGTAGTGGCTGCAAACCCAGGACAGGTGGCAACCGTGTGGCGTGCGTGCGTGCTGTCGCAGGACATCAGCGAGGACATCTCGAGCCACGTGGAGGTGGTGCACGCCTTGCTCGAGACGGCCTTCCCGCTGCGTCTGCTCGCCGTCTCCGTGCAGGTGGGGCGGCGGAGGCCGGCGCCGGCGCGGCGGCCGCCCCGCTTGTGGTGTGGAGTGACCCGTGGAGTTGTGGTTGCGGCTGTGGTGGTTGCGGCTGTGTCAGCTCCGGCCTTGGTTCTGACGGTGACACCTGGGGGCGTGGTTGTGTGGTTGTGCTGCCCGGTTGTGGAAGTGCCGGCCGTGGTCGTGACATTTGCCATTTCGAATTTTTGTTGTTGTCATTGTTGTTGTTGCTGTTGTAACGAGATGAGAGCTGTAGATGGTGGCTGTGTGGTAGTAACAGTTTGGTGGTTGTGGGGGTTTCTCCCCCCCGCTCCTCCGTCCCCCCTTCCCCCCACCCGTGCAGGTGTTGCTGGACATCCAGGCGGCGCACCTGCTGTGGCACCAGCTGCGCGTGTCCACGCTGGTGCTGCGCGAGCGCATCGTGCGCTGCCTGCAGGACTCCAACGGGAACTTCACGCGCCAGCCCGACATCCTGCAGGCGGTGGGGGGTGGTGGGGGCGAGCACGTGAGCGCCAGCAACAAACAGACAGAGAAACGATCGCAGCAGCGGCAAGCAACGCGACGTCAGCGGGGACGACGGGAGAGCCGTCCGCAGCAACGGCATTAGTTCACGGGAAAAATGAGAAAGGATTTTACATTTTATGGCAATGCATCAGGTGTGTTAAGATGTCCCTGGTGTAGGCCAATCAGTTTCAAAGGCAATGCGTATATCAACGGAGCGTGTTTGTTTGCATGTTCACCGCAAGTGCGCGTGGTTAATGCAGACACGATTCCTTGTAGAAGGTTTATATTTGGTGTTTGAACATCTTAACACCTCCTGTTTTATTGCCAGAAAGGGTAAAACCGCTTGTGTTGTGGCCGAAACGTCGTGATTTTTTGTTATTTTATTTTCACCTACGTGACTTTACCCAATAGAACCAAAGAGTATGGGTCCCAGCATTAGTTCATCATGACGACGTTAACAGCAACATTCAAAACATCTCTCTGTCTAAAGCAGCTCAAGCCTCCCGTAAACCACGTGACTTCCGTGTGGTCACTCCCACTCTGAACCCCTCCCCTTCTCCCCGCCCACCGCGAAAACGCACGCTGCTCCATGCAGCAGCGTCGAGGCCCTCATGCAGCCTCCTCCTCCCTCTCCTCCTCTTCCTCCTCTTCCTCCTCCTCCCTCTCATCCTCCCTCTCCTCCTCTTCCTCCTCCCTCTCCTCTTCCTCCTCTTCCTCCTCTTCCTCCTCCCTCTTCTCCTCCTCCCTCTCCTCCTCTTCCCCCTCCTCCCTCTTCTCCTCTTCTCTCTCCTCTTCCTCCTTCCTCTCCTCCCTCTCCTCCCTCTCCTCCTCCCTCTTCTCCTCCTCTTCCTCCTCCTTCTCATCCTCCCTCTCCTCCTCTTCCTCCTCCTTCCTCTCTTCCTCCTCCCTCTCCTTATTTTTTTGTTCACCTTTCCTTACTTTGCACTCCTGTCGTGTTCTTTGTATCGTTTGTCGTTTTGCCTCTACTGGACATCTGTTGGAAAAGAGCTTTATAGCTCATCGGATTCCTCCTCCAGTATGAATAAAGATTCCGATTCTGATCCCTCCTCCACACCGTGCTCCTGTTTCTCCGTCCCTTTTCCATCCCTCTCCTCTCCTCTCGTCATCCCCCCCCCCCCGCCCATTCTTCTTTTTCTCTCTTCCCTACCCATTCGTTACAACCTTCGACTCTACTCCCCTTCCCGTGACGGTGTAGCCACGGGTACGAAGCTGCGAGTCGACAACACATTAGCAGCAGCGGCGTGCACAACGGTGACGTTCGCCGCGACAACATTAGCAGCAGTTACAACAGCAGCGTGAAGGCAACATAACACACAACAGCAGCAACAACAACAACAACAGCAGCAGCAACAACAACAACATGAACACAGCAACAGCAGCGGTAGCAAAAGCATTGATACGCTCCCTCTGGGCTCGAGGCCGCACTCAGCGGCTGCACGGTCCCGTTGCTGTCGAGCACGGCGCTCGAGAGGGGAGTGCAACGTGCTGAGCCGGCACCGCCGAATATCCTGGGTTCGAAACCTTGCGTTTTGCTTGCAGTCTGTTTTCCCCCCGCCGCGCCTCCGATGAGCACGGTTGGCTACGTATGGCGCGAAAGAAGTTCAATGTACACACACAGAGATGCAAACCGGGCTCTCAGGCGTCGCGAGATAACGGACTCGGCATGGTCACGAGATGGCTGCACAAAGAACCCCGATGAAGCGAGTCTGTGCCTCCTTGGTTTGTGTATGTACCACATGTCGAACTTCCCTTCGCACCGTGCGTGGCCGACCGTGCTAACCGGAGGTGCCCGGGGGGGGGGGGGGGGGGGATGGACCACAAACTAAACCCCGCCAAAAAAAATGTGTTTGAAAAAAATACATTTTTCCATCTCGATTTGAAAGTGCCTAGCTCCCCAGTGGCTTCCGAACATCGGAAGGCACGGGCGCTTGCGGGGCGTCCGCGATGTGGTGACCGTCTTTGTTCGATGGCGAGCCAAAAGCTTTGCTGCGATGCTTAAGGTACATCCAGGCCGCTTGCAGGGTCGCCAGACGGATTGTTACGTCGCAGAACCGTGAGAGATGGCGACGGCTCGGAGGGGCCTTCGTCCAGCAGTGGATTGATTATAACTAAAAACATCGATTTCTCTATCACGCTGTGATCATTATTCACGGTGGTGGGATAGGTGGGGAGGGGGAGGTGCTATTACTGTGTGGACCAGCGGTCATTTGAAGGGCTCTCTGAAGTGGTTCTGTGATATCCACTTCTGTGGGCCATTCTCTAGCAGTGAAGGGTGGAACTGCTGTGGGAGACCTCCGGGCGGGTACTAAATGTCACGACGCCACGCCGACACCGCAACCGCGATAACGTTGGGTGACAATTACAAATAAAACGTGAAGTGAACAGAGTCCGTTAAAACTCTCGCAGAGTGGTCAAAGAATTAGCCCTGGGAAAAGACATCACAGAGCCAGATCTGAAGTGACTGCAATAGGCGTCTTTATGCGCACTCGGCACGCACCTTTGTGTACACATTGTGTTAGCGACGCTGCTTTACTTTACCTGGGGGAAGGGGGAATTACGAACCCGTTTTGTTGAACTAACAAAACACAAACGCCGCTCCCGCTGCCCACACAGAGCTGCCTCGAGTCCATGGGCAGCGTGGAGGACCTGCAGAACCTCATCGTCAAGTGCTCCAAGAATTATTTCTCGCTCGACTGTGGCATCACCGCCATCGAGCTGTCGGACTACAGCCCCAAGGAGGAGGAGGCGACCTCTCCGCATGCCGACCCCGACCCTGATGGATGGGAGCCGCTCGAGGCCGACGCGGTGGCGGAGGAGGAGCAGGTGAAGGAGCAGGTGAAGGAGCAGGTGAAGGAGCAGGTGAAGGAGGAGGTGAAGGAGGTGAAGGAGGAGACGCCGCGTTTGACAGGTCCAGGTCGGCGCGGCCGCCGCGAGCCACAACCGGACGGCGGGGCCGGCGGCTTTCCCGGCACGGCCGACGGAAGCCGCCCGTTCGCGTGCGGTTCGACCGAGCGGCAGGATCGCGCCGGGCACGGCAGCGTTCATCCCGAGGCCGGTCCGCCCCATAGCGAGCGCGTGGAGGAGGACGAAGTCGGCGGACGCGCCGGCAAGACCGACGCCCCGCGGGGACCGACGGCCGTCACGGGGGCGAGCGGCCGCGTTCCCTCCGGACGCACGGAGGCCGCGCACGACGAGCGTGACCGCTCGGACGGAGAGCGGCGGCCGGGCGGGGGTCGGCGGCCGGCGCTCTCCGCGACGGGTTCTCAGGACCCGGCGGCGGAGTCCGCCGCGGATTATTCGCAGCGTCGGCCGAGGCGGCAAAGTGCGGTGGCGGCGGCGGTGGCGCCGGCGGGGAGATTCTCGGCACCGGAGGCGGGTCGGCCGCTTGGCGTCTCGCCCGGTTGGCCCTCGTCGCCGCCACGTGGAGACGCGCGGTGGGACACCACTTCTTCGACGGAGGGTGGCTGCGAATATTTCCAGGCGTCGTCGTCGTCGGATCGAAGCAAAGGCGACGAGGTGGACGGCTCCCAGGGAGGAGGAGGAGGCGGCTCGTCCTCGCGTGCCGCGGAGCGAGATGACGAGCGTCGCCCAGGTGACGCGCACGTAGAGGAGGAGGAGGAGGAGAAGAAGGAGGAACAGGAGGAGGAGGAGTCCTACCTCACCCTGTCGCACAGCGCGAGTCTGACAGCGGACGACGGAGAGCCTCTGGAAGGTACCCGCAACCACGGAAGTGCGAGTCGCCGGCTCCATTGGACCGATCTCGTTTGTTAAACTAATTCGGGAAGGATTCGCCGAGTGCGGGTGCGATGGTTCAGGAGAATGTTTGTTTGGCCGTTTCCAGCAGTGAGAGTTTGGCTTTGTCTGGGACACAATCGGAGTGCCTGGAGGATACCCAGCAGCACGCAATGGGGTAACACCATGGAGCTCTCTCACACAGTCGGGGTTCAAGAGCTCACGTACACTTGGTGGTGAGATGTTAACTACCTCGCCTGGTATACAGGAGGTCGTGGGTTTTATCCCGACCGTGACGCCTGTATATTTGAAGTTTGCGTGTCTCTCTCCCCTTGGTCACGTGGATTTTTCTCCAGGTCCTCCGGTTTTCTCATTCACATTTAGAATAAACATCACGCATTTGGCGTATTTTGCTGAATTTCCACGTGATGATACACCACTTTGTTCAGATATCATTTGTGGCCAGGTTGCTTCTGAAAAAGAGCTACTCTGTGGATGTTACCTGGTAAAATAAAAAAAATAGTTTATAGTTCATCTCCGGGTTACACTTTGCAGCCCCGGTGGATTTGGGAGTTTCACAGATGTCTACGTGATCCACCAACCCCTGCCTCCTAAGTACCGCATCGCCAGGGGTGCGCTTACACCACTCCCCGTCACCACTCGGCTGGCTTCACCTTGGCGGTGTTTGATCCTCAGACTTCCAGTGAGCGTGCTGCTGCTGCTACTGCTGCTCCTGTTGCTACTGCTGATACTGCTGCTCCTGCTGCTGCTGCTGCTCCTGCTGCTACTGCTGGTGCTGCTGCTCCTGATGCTCCTGTTGCTACTGCTGCTCCTGCTGCTACTGCTGCTCCTGCTGCTACTGCTGGTGCTGCTGCTCCTGCTGCTACTGCTGCTCCTGCTGCTACTGCTGGTGCTGCTGCTACTGCTGCTCCTGTTGCTACTGCTGATACTGCTGCTCCTGCTGCTACTGTTGCTCCTGCTGATACTGCTGCTACTGCTGCTCCTGTTGTTACTGCTGCTCCTGCTGCTACTGCTGCTGCTCCTGCTGATACTGCTGCTCCTGCTACTACTGTTGCTCCTGCTGCTACTGCTGCAACTGCTGCTTCTGCTGCTGCTCCTGCTGCTGCTCCTGCTGCTCCTGCTGCTACTGCTGCTCCTGCTGCTGCTGCTGCTAGTGCTAGTGCTGCTGCTAGTGCTGCTGCTCCTGCTGCTACTGCTGCTTCTACTGCTGCTCCTGCTGCTGCTGCTACTGCTGCTTCTACTGCTGCTCCTGCTGCTCCTGCTGCTACTGCTGCTCCTGCTGCTGCTAGTGCTACTGCTGCTGCTCCTGCTGCTACTGCTCCTGCTGCTGCTGCTGCTGCTGCTACTGCTCCTGCTGCTGCTAGTGCTGCTGCTGCTCCTGCTGCTCCTGCTGCTGCTACTACTGCTGCTGCTACTAGTGCTACTGCTCTTGCTGCTGCTACTGCTCCTGCTGCTCCTGCTGCTGCTGCTGCTGCACGGCTTCTGAGCGGCCAGCAGGCGGCGCTCTGACACCGCCCGTTGCCGCGCGAGCCCCGTGATGGAGGCGTGCGGACCGGGCTGGGGCCACTTTGTTATTATTGACTTAAAGCTTTCGTGACTGCAGGAATTCTTATTCTTGGGTCTTTCGGTAAAGTTACCTAGATAGGTTCAAAGAAAATAACAAAAAGAACAAAAAAAACTACTCCCCAATATAACTATAGTCATACCTCGGTATACGACCGCTTTGGAATACGTCGAAATTGGTATATGACGTGTTTTGACGAGAAAAACGTCTCTTGGGATACAACGTTTTGCTTGGGATACGATGCGCTTGCTAGAACTTGCATGGGTCGGGATGAGTCGCCCCGTCCCCACGTAGACCCCGTTCACGACTGAGACAAAGCGCCGCTCCTCAGTCTGACTGTAGATCTCGTTCAGTGCACAACCCTTGCGAGAACTCCCTGTGAATTTTCACGTGTTTGTTGTCATTTCAAAGTGAATCTTCAGCAAGGTAAAGTGACGTTAAATTGTATTTTTATTTAAATTTATTGTAATTTATTTATGCATTTATTTTAATGTATGTATGCATTTTAGTAATAAGTAGTGTCTAAATTATCCTATACAAACACATTCATGTATAATATGCCATATAAATATAATTTCTTATACTCTGGAACGGATTATTTCCGTTCCCTTTATTTCTTATGGGAAAAATTCGTTTGGTTTTCGTCATTTTCGGTATAAGTCCTCCTACCTTCTAGAACGAATTAACGATGTATACCGAGGTACCACTGTACTACCACAGACACAGCTCAGTTTGTAGACGCCGGGGTATTGCATGTCAGGGATCACATCCTTCACACAAGGGATCAGATCACGAATTTTACGTAGTGTTAAATCGAACCTGGATCTTGTGTTTGTTCATGATTTTTGAAGTATTTTTAGTGACCCCTGCTATGTATGGCAAGGTGATGGTTTTGATTGGGTCCTCAGATGGTTCTTTCCCAACGGTTGGGGTGAAAACTTTACGGATTGTGTAGGCTGAATATCCATTCATCTTGAGAGCTTGGTGTACATGTTCCAGTTCACTGGCTAGGTGATGACGGTCAGAAATACATCGAGCTCTATGGTGTGGAGCTTTGATGAGGGAATTCTTCTGGGATGGATGGTGGTGGGAGTCAGGTTTTAGGTAGGCATCCGTATGGGTGGCTTTCCTGTAGACAGTGTCCCATTGAGCCATCTGGTCTCTTTTAGATTAAAACATCCAAGAATGGTAACTTGCCATCTTTTTCCACCTCCATAGTGAATTTGATGGCTGGGTGTATAAAATTGATGTGGTTGAGGAATTGGTTCAGAGCTGGTCGGCCATGTGGCCAGATGACAAACGTGTCATCGATGTACCTCTTCCACAAGGACGGACGTAGATCGGATGCCTGGATGGCATCTGTCTCAAAATTTTCCATGAAAACATTGGCGACAACTGGAGATAAGGGAGAACCCATTGGGGTACCTTCAACTTGTTTGAAGAATGTTCCATTCCAGGGGAAGTAAGTGTTGGTGAGGCAGTGTCTCACCAGGGCCGGTACATCAGCATTCAGTCCTTGTTGTACCAAGTCTTCAATGATTGCAATGGTATCAGGCACAGGAACTTTGGTAAACGAAGAGACCACATCGAAACTAACGAGCAAATCACCTGGAGATAGTTAGATGTCCTTAATTAACGATACCAAGTGAGCTGAGTTGAGTACAGCTGAGGTGGTCTTACCAGTAAATGGTTGTAAGGTCTCAGAGAGAAATCGAGCCAGTTTGTAGGTGGGTGAGTCAATGGTGGAGACGATAGGACGAAGGGGTGTCCCTTCTTTATGGTTTTAAGGAAAACCGTTTGGTTGGTTCGATCAAAGATGTCGAATCAGTGATGATATTGTTGGTTTTCGTAACGAGGCGGTTGGTGAGATCTCTTTCATTTTGGTATAGCTACCATCATTAAGTAGGTCCTGAATTTTGTTATTGTATGTGGTTTTGTCCATGATAACTGTGGCATTGCCCTTGTCGGCTGAGGGGATGACGATGTCATCTCTCTTTAATAATTGAGAAAGCTCAAAGCGCTCATCTTTACTGATGTTGCTAATAGGTGTCTTAGCGTTTCTGAGGATTGCAGCGATTTCCGATCTTGCCACGTCTGCAGTAATGGGTCTCAAACCCTTAAGAGCTACGTCGACCTGGGCAATGATATCATCAACTGCGATGTGTTTAGCGGTGACTGCGAAATTCAACCCTTTGACTAGAATTGATTTTAGGCTGTCTGAAATTGGACTTTTACTCTGATTGATAACAATCTTGTCAACGTCTAACTTTTTAATGTGTGGATCTGGCTTCTTCTTGGAAAGGAGGTTGAACTTGGACATCAGGTTATCTTTGCATTTAGCTGCCATTGAGGCGGCTTAACGGGCTGTGATGTTGTCTACATGTTCCCAATCAGATGTAGATATTTTTTCCATCAATGTTAAGTGTGATTTCAGGAGAGTCTTGTCTGAATCGTCTAGTTCAAATCGGAGCAATCGTATTCTCTCTGAGATCAGGGCTAGGCCAGCCCTGAACAAGATCCGTTTAGCATTGGGAGAAGTGACAGCAGCAGATGTCAGTGTAAAGGCGATCGGTATTACCTTAGTGTCGCGGCATCTCTTCAGAAATGTGAGCGACTCGATCAGGTGAGCCTTCTTGTCTCGAAGTTTGTTAAAAGATCTAATAGTTTGTGATTGCAGGAATTCATATTCTTGGGTCTTTCGATCAAGTCACGTAGATAGGTTAAAGTCCAAACTGACAACCCCCCCCCACCAACGCGGAGACAGAGCGACGAAATCGGCTTCCTTGCCCCCCGGAGAGCCAGGATGGAACGTTGCATCTCGGGGAGAGGTGGCGACGGCTCGTCGCGGACATGCCTTCATCCAGCGGCGGATTGGACCGTGACCGACGATGTTGTTACGCCTTGACCAGAGCCCTGACATGTAACAATGTGGGACCTGACGATACTTTCCACGTGTCGACGAAGAACCTCAACACGCAGGTGCACAGGTGACAACTCTCTGGAAGGGTCCACTGCACGGGGCGGTTCCTCCTTCCCCACGCAACTCATCTGCAGAACGCCCCAACGTGGCAGCAGCCGCCTGAGAAAGAGACCTGAGACTCGCCGAGCTTTTTCCTAGGATACACAAGCCACATACGCATTGCTACCACGATTGCTGTTGTTGTGGGACGACGTGGTGAACAGTGCTGGATTATCCTCATAGCAAAAGTAGCTCCATATGCTACGGGCCCTGCAATTTCAAGGGCCCCGCGCTAAATGCTTTCAAGCTATCAATTCTGGTTCAGTGATTCTGCACTTGTTCTATTACTATAGGACTATATCGCCTTCAACTTTTATGAATGACCGGGTGTTTAAGGTTAGTGATTTGTCGTATTACCTGGCTGTATAGCAAATTAAAATATACAATTACATTACTATGCAAATTTAAAATTTGTGTGTTCAATATTTATGTTTTTTTAATTTAGGGCCCCTTTATAACATGATGCTACAGGCCCCGCACTAGCTTAATCCGGCACTGTTGGTGAAATATGGTCAAATAACCGCCACGCCCCGTAAGACGTGGGGAGCACCTCCACCAGCAGTGGATTGACAATTGGCTATACACAGGTATAAAATAATTATTAGTATTTCAACTCAGAACGCCTACAGTATTCACTCACTCTCTTAACTAAACTAAAAATTTAACTCAAAAAACCTCTATGATGGATAAAAACTAAACTATTTTTTTTATTTTACTAGGTAAGGCCCACTGAGCAATATAAGCCCTTTTTCAGAAGGGACCTGGCCACAGCTGATACCTCGACGACGTGGCTTATCACGTGGAAATGTATAGCAACAGACAAAAACTCTCAACACATGTTTCTAAATGTGGGGTGAAAAACCGGAGGACCCAGAGAAAAATCCACACGACCACGGGGAGAGAGACACGCAAATTACAAATATACAGGTGTCACGGTCGGGATAAAACCCACGACCTCCTGTATACCAGGCGAGGTAGTTAACATCTCACCACCAAGGGTACGTGAGCTCTTGAACCCCGACTGTGTGAGAGAGCTCCATGGTGTTACCCCATTGCGTGCTGCTGGGTATCCTCCAGGCACTCCGATTGTGTCCCAGACAAAGCCAAACTCTCACTGCTGGAAACGGCCAAACAAACATTCACACCGCAGCACGCTCCTGAACCATCGCACCCGCACTCGGCGAATCTTTCCTGATTTGTGTAACAAACGAGATCCGTAACATCTCGTCACCGCAAGGAACCAAGACACACAATAAGGCAGCCGCGTGGTTGCTGGTGCCAACAATTTCCCATGCTCTTCAGTCCTCTATATATTAAGGTGTTATCGTCTAGTCAATCACTGTTTACATGTAGGAGGAAACCCGAGAACCCGGAGAAACTGCATGCAAGGGGGAAACGCTCTATCCCATACAGAGGGAACAGGTGGAGTCCACATTTTTGCTGTACGGCCTTCTCCTGGCAGAGCCAGGGTACAGCTCCTTCTCGACGCTCACCAATCCTCGCTACCTCCACCCGGCCACGGTGTATGACCCGTGTAACCGAGGCATTCCGCCGTCTCAGGCGTGAGCAGGTTCATGTTCACAGCTTGGTAGACGCCGCTAACCCGCCCTGCCTTCTCTCCGCCCACGGCAGTCGGAGGCGACAGAGGCGGTGACCCCGGCGACCTCGGCTTCTCCGGCGGCCCCGGCGTGTCGCCCCACGACCCAGCCTCCCCTCCACGCCGCGACTCTGCCGAGTACCTGGCGCTACTGACGCCGCCGCCGCCGCCTCGATTCCACGTGGCGGCGAGGGACCTGGACGATTGGGAGCTGTCGGAGGCGGCGTCGGACCCCGGCTCCCCCGAGCGGGGACACGGCACTCCGGTGCCGTGGGACGAGCCGAGCCCCGACGCCGAGGCCGGCGCCGGCGCGGTGACGGGGGGCGGCCGTGGCGCGGGCTTCACCGGGAAGCAGTTCGGTGACACGTTCCCGGACGCGTCGTCGGACGACGAGCAGGAGGGCGCGCGGTTCGCCGCCACCGCGCCGGCGCTCGCCCGCCCGGGTGAGCGACCTGATCGGCGGACCGCCATCTTCCGGTGGCGCGCCAAACCCTGCCCCGCGTAGCGACGGAGCGCGCGCGCAAGTTAGCGCCTCCTGTCGCGATTTCGGTCGCTCCCTTCTTTAGCTCAGCGTCAGGCTCGGGCGGTTTGTGAGAAATGTTCGGAGTAGACGAGGCTCGTGAGAAATGAGCGACGTCACGGGTTGCTCTCTGCAGCGCCTCCGAGTGGCTCCTTGATGAAGCGTCACGGTCACCACACCACTCCCCACACCGTCGCCGCACTGTTACCTACGTATGTCCGTTGGATTTCTTCCACACCGCACGTAGCCAACCGGTGGGGTTGAGTGCGGTGGGGTGAGCGGTGGGGCGAGGGGTGGGGCGAGCGGTGGGGCGAGCGGTGGGGTGAGCGGTGGTTGAAAACGGTGGAGCGAGCAGTGGGGTGAGCGGTGGTTGAGAACGGTGGGGCGAGCGATGGGGTGAGCGGTGGTTGAAAGCGGTGGGGCGAGCGGTGGGGCGAGCATTGGGGCGAGGGGTGGGGCGTGCGGTGGAGTGAGCGGTGGTTGAGAGCGGTGGGGCGAGCGGTGGGGCGAGCGTTGGGGCGAGGGGTGGGGCGAGCGATGGGGCGAGCGGTGGGGTGAGCGGTGGTTGAGAGCGGTGGGGCGAGCGGTGGGGCGAGCGTTGGGGCGAGGGGTGGGGCGAGCGATGGGGCGAGCGGTGGGGTGAGCGGTGGTTGAGAGCGGTGGGGCGAGCGGTGGGGCGAGCGTCGGGGTGGGGCGAGCGATGGGGCGAGCGGTGGGGTGAGCGGTGGGGCGAGCGGTGGGGCGAGCGTTGGGGCGAGGGGCGCTCACCCGCGTGTTCGTGTCGCCCACAGGAGCCCAGCGACTCCGCGAGGAGCTCCGTGGCTGTCTCCGGGGACACCCGGACGCCGACGTCGCACGCAGAGTCGAGGTGATGCTCCACCAAGATCTCACGAGAGCCCAGCGTCCGTTGAAAAATGAGAATGATCGGGCCGGTTCTTGTCCCCAACCCCTACAATATTCTGCTAAAGCGGGGGGGGGGGGGGGGGGGGGCGGGGGCGGGGGGGGCACTGTAATGAGGTTGACCTCTCGCGTGACGAGATGGCGGTGAAATGACGTGATGCTCGTTTCAAAAGATGAGGTGTGGATTCAATAGTGTGCTGGTGGTGGTGGTGACGGTGCGATGAATTGTGGGTGTCGTAAGTTGGGTTCCGTGGTTAAGTGTGGCCGCCGTGATGAGGATCTGTTTTCCGTGACGAGGATGGGGGGGTGTCGTGACGAGGTGTCGGTGCCGGCGCTCGGCCGCGGGTACCACGTGGGTAATTCGAGATGCACTCGGCCGTTGACGATCGCGGCCGCTCGGTCGCTGCGTCACTTGTGGTGCCTGTCCCAAGAAAACGGGCCGAACCGGAGCAGCCCGGTTAAACCCCCCAAGCGCCGTTTGGGCACGGCGCCAATCGTCATCGAAATTGTCGCGGGATCCCGCGCGGTGACTCACGCGCCGGGACAACCGCACGTTGACCAACCGCGGTAAGCGGACGTGCGATTGCCGGAAGGTATAGGATGGTTAACGGGAGGAATAGGAGGCGTAAGATTGTTGGTCGGAAGAGTCACGTGATGAATGGGAAGAGGGATATGAGGAGGGATAGGGGGAATAGGGGGATGAACGGGAGGCGGAGTAACAGGAGGAGGAACATGAGGAGGGCGTCTTCTGACATCCTCTCTGGAGCGTGGTTTTGGAGGAGGGTCACGGTTCACGCGCATGATGCGCACGGCCACGCCGCCGCCGCTGCTGCGTGATGTCTCGCAGCTCTTTGCCCAGCGGCTGGGGGAGCTGGAGGGCTGGGTGGAGGCAGCCGCCGGCGCCCTGCACGAGTGGACGCCCCCCCATGACCCCGCCGACGCTCCGAGCCCCGTGAGCATCCCCAACTCCCCACTCCCATCCACCCGTGCCATCACCTTTCGCTCATTCGTTGATTTATTCGTTCACGTCCAGCACCCGCTCGCTCGCCCGTTCGCTTGCTAATTCGTTTACTCGTTAATTAATTTACTTATTTGCTTTCTGATTCATTCTTTCATTCACTCGCTGCACAAGTATTCCCTCATTCATTCACGAATTCACTCGTCCATTCAATTGTTAGTTCATTCATTCAATAATTTTATTCTCATCCCTCACTCGCCCGTTCACATTCATTCATTTGCTCGTTCACATTCCGCACTCGCGCACCCACTCATTCCGTGGCGGTGTGGCAGCGAGCATCGGGGTCGCGACCTTCGTGACCTTTGTGACCTCCGCGACCTCCGCGAGCGGCTCCGAGCATTTTAAACGACTCGCAAGAATTGCGCCTGGGCCCAGCTCGTCCGTTCGCCGCGTCTCTGGTAGAAATTGAAAGGAGGCATCGCGGAAATCTTTTGCCGCTCGTTGGGAGTGGGGGCGGAGGGGCAGGCGGCGGCGCAGCGGTCGGCGCGCCGCGCGTTAAGGCCGGCCACCTCCGAGCGATGCCTCGGAAGGCAGGCGGAGCGTTGAGCCTGAGCGGTGCACGGAGGGGCAGCCGCCGCGCACGCCAGCTCGTCAGCGGGCAGCGCAGCGGAACCCAACGTTGTACTGCGCTGCCCGCGGCGACACTCGCCGATGCGCGGCGGAAAAGCAAAACAGAAAATTCCCAGGTGAGGCCTAGTGAGCTATGTAGCTCTTTCTTAGGAAGCGACCCGGTCGTGAATTGGCTTCTCATCAGACAAATATAATGTAATGGGGCTTTCCCCCCTTTTTTTCTGGCAACGAAACTGAACCCTTTTTTTTTACAAGGAATCATGTCTGCATTAACCACAATACCTGTGGTCAAAATGCAAACAAAAAATACACTCTGATATTACATGCATTGTCCTTTAAACTGATTGGTACACACCAGAGACGGCATTCTTTTGAGCCTCGTCTCAATTGGTGCTAGACCAGAGGACACCAACAGGCATTTTGACCACAAGTATTGTGGTTAATGCACACATGATTCCTTGTAAAATGGTTTCAGTTTTGTTGCCAGAAAAAAGGGGAAAAACCCTATTATATTATTTTGGTACTGGCAAAGGAGGTTTAATGATGATGATGATGATATCAGACAAATACTCAAAGCACACGTTAATAAATGTCGAGGGAAAAACCGGAGGGCCTGGAGAAAAATCCACGCTGCCACAGGGAGAGAGAGAGACGCAAACTCCAAAAATACAGCAGGCGTCAGGGTCGGGATCGAACCCACGACCTCCTGTATACCATGCGAGGTAGTTAACATCTCCTAGTCACCGTGATGATGAGAGAGAGAGAGAGAGACACGCAAACTCCAAAAATACAGCCGGCGGTAGAGTCGTGATCGAACCCACGACCTCCTGCATACCGGGCGAGGTAGTTAATATCTCCTAGCCACCGTGATGATGATGAGAGAGAGAGGGAAACACGCAAACTCAAAAAATACAGCAGGCGTCAGGGTCGGGATCGAACCCACGACCTCCTGTATACCAAGCGAGGTAGTTAACATCTCCTAGCCACCGTGATGATGAGAGAGAGAGAGAGAGACACGCAAACTCCAAAAATACAGCAGGCGGTAGGGTCAGGATCGAACCCACGACCTCCTGCATAACGGGCGAGGTAGTTAACATCTCCTAGCCACCGTGGCGCCCATGGGATTCGAGGCGCAGCGTGGGGATCGCTCGTCCTCCCGTCCGTATGTTCAGCAAGACTCTTTCGTCCACCTTTTTGGATCCATCCCACACTACGGTTTATTTTTCTTCTGAGCACACTCCGGGCGTCGCGTCAGGGGGTGAATAATTAATTTGGAACTGTCGCGGAGCAGGATAGCACCCGCGGTAAGCGAATGTCACAGAGCTACCTCGGAGGTGCACCACCGGTCCCCAAATAGAACCATCTCACTGGCAGTGACGTTCATCACAGAACGGTCAAACCCCCTACATTTTAATTTCTCACAGCTTAAATTCAGCCAAATTAAGTTCAGAACCAAGTTTCACCTGATTGAGGATCGAGCTGAGATCATCAACTCGCTGCACTTGAGAACCTGGATTAATGTGGCTCTATGTGAGTCTATGGGTCTCTATGTGAGTCTATGGGTCTGTATGTGAGTCTATGGGATTCTATGTGAGTTTGTGGGTCTTTATATGAGTCTATGTATCTCTATGTGAGTCTATGGGTCTCTAAACGAGTCGATGGGATTCTGTGCGAGTCTATGGTTCTTTATGCGAGTCTATGGGTCTCTATGTGAGTCTATGGTTCTCTATGTGAATCTAGGGGCCTCTATGTGAATCTATGGATCTCTATGTGAGCCTATCGGTCTCTACGTGAGGCAATCAACTCGCTACATTTGAGAACCCGGTTCAATCACGGGCAGCGGCTGAAACCTGAAATCCACCCCAGGACCTCACCCTCACCAATGGCAAAATCAGACGCCGACGCCCAACATAAAATAAATTTCTCTTTGTCCCGTCCATCCGCGCGATATCCCCAATCGTCGCCGTCGGCACCAGCACTGCCGCGGAGTGATTGGCCATCGATCGGCAGAGGCAGACTTCCTCGCGCCCTCCAAGTCCTCACCGCCGCTCACGCCACCCCCGTGGGGTTTGCCGCTGCCCCCCCCACCAGTCGCGAACCCCGGCGGTGTTCAACTTCAGACGGGGGTGCGGTGCAGCGAGGAGGTGCAGGTGGTGGTGGTGGTGGAGCGATGAGGTGGTGATGACGACCACGCACGCTCTCTCATCCTGTTACAGACCTGTAGCGTCAGGTGGTGGGGGCTGGGAGAGGGGTGGTTGAAGTCCCGAAGCTCAGCACCTCCCTTTTTATAAATCCTCAAAATCAAGTCAGGAGCCGACCGCGTCGCTACGAGCCCTCCGCTTAAAACATTTTTATCAATTTATTATTTTATTATCATTCTACGTGACTTTACCGAAAGAACCAAAGAAGATGAATCATTGCAGTCACGAAAGCTTTAAATCGAAATTTAAAACATTTGCTTAACGCTGCTGCCTTCCGTGGCGCGGAGCGGTGGTGCCACGGTCAGCGAGCGGCGCTACGAACCCGGCGACCCGATACCTGGTGACGATTACCTGAACCGGTGCTCGTCCCGCCCTCAGGTCGGCCGACCCGGCCTTAATGAAGCACCTCGTGCTGTGCGTACACCATCTGTGCCCGGAGACACAAATGCGGCTGAGCGTGATTCCGGCCACGGCGCCCCGTCGCGCGGTGCCGTGGCCGGCCTTCGTGGGCTCTACTCACAAACAGCGCTTGCGTGCGTGGTGGAGAGCCACCGGCGTCTCTGCTTGCGTGGCGGAGCCACGGCGCGGGATCGAGCCGTGGCTCCAGGAGCGCGATCACGAGCGGGACGTTGTTCCTCGCCCCGCACGATCATCGAGTCGCCGGCGCGCCAGCAGCGTTCGCTAAAGAGCTGTCGCCGTCGTCATCGCTAAGCGGACAGGGCAGCCCGCTAATGCCTCGTTTATTGCCTCGTGATTCACAACAGTCGACTCCTAAACGATTGAGATAAGCTCTACGGCGTTCCAGTAATATCAACCAAAGGCGCAGCCCTGCAATTGCTCACTGGCGCGACTGCTGTGGGAAAGGCCTCCGCCAGACGGGGCCACGGAGAGTCCCTCGAGTGGCTACTGTGGCCAACTCTTGCCTCGCTTGCTTCAACGTCTCGGCAAGCGTGGAACACACCCACTTTTTATCCCCGCCACGCGTGCACACGCGCGCGCCATGCCTTAGGGAGACTTGAGACAATCGCACCGTCCCAAAATAATAAACATCAACAACAACAACAACAACGCCGATCTCCGCCGGTTCTCTCCGTGGCCATTTTTTTTCATTATTCTTTTTTTTTTCTGGCAGCAGCCGTTGCAGCTGAACCCGGACGCTCACCGAGCGGAGAAGGAGCTGGTGCTGGCCGAGGGGCTCGCGCTCCTCTCGCTGCCGCAGCTCGACCAGTCCGGTGAGCTCCCCGCGGTCCCGTCGGGCACGAGGCGGTCGCGACCCCTTCGGCTCGCGGGCGCGGCCGCGAGCCGCGATCCGTGCAAACCGTGAGAGCAGCCCCGTCGGGAATGTTTCAGCTTGCGTGCCGAGTCGGAGATATTAAGCCGATGTGACAGCGATACATTAATGAGACGGGCTCGGATGTGACAGGGGTGGGTGTGTGTGGGGGGCAGGGAAAGGTGTCGTGGCCGGAGAACACTGAGTGGCAGCTCCCTGCGGGCACAGAGAAATGCTGCTCTTCGATTGTGTAATCAGCTTAAAAAGTGAAGCCTCGTTTGTCCATTGCAGGTTGCTGGGCGATTGAAAACGCCGGTGTGTAGAGGTGGCAATGGCCCGGTCACCCGGAATGCGCCCAGTCACCCGAAATGCGCCCGGTTACCCGAAATGCGCCCGGTTACCCGAAATGCGCCCGGTTACCCGAAATGCGCCCGGTTACCCGAAATGCGCCCGGTTACCTGAAATGCGCCCGGTTACCCGAAATGCGCCCGGTTACCCGAAATGCGCCCGGTCACCCGAAATGCGCCCGGTCACCCGAAATGCGCCCGGTTACCTGAAATGCGCCCGGTTACCCGAAATGCGCCCGGTCACCCGAAATGCGCCCGGTCACCCGAAATGCGCCCGGTCACCCGAAATGCGCCCGGTTACCTGAAATGCGCCCGGTTACCCGAAATGCGCCCGGTCACCCGAAATGCGCCCGGTTACCCGAAATGCGCCCGGTTACCTGAAATGCGCCCGGTTACCCGAAATGCGCCCGGTTACCCGAAATGCGCCCGGTCACCCGAAATGCGCCCGGTCACCCGAAATGCGCCCGGTTACCTGAAATGCGCCCGGTTACCCGAAATGCGCCCGGTCACCCGAAATGCGCCCGGTTACCCGAAATGCGCCCGGTCACCCGAAATGCGCCCGGTCACCCGAAATGCGCTCGGTCACCCGAAATGCGCCCGGTTACCCGTAATGCGCCCGGTTACCTGAAATGCGCCCGATCCGATCTGAGAAAAGTAACGATGGGCCGTACACTGAACCCACTGTGGTCGGCACTCATTCAGCGGAGGAGGAGCAGCAACACGAACTCCTCTCTCCCTCTCTCTCTCTCGCTGCTGAAACCCTCTCGTCGAGGCCAGCAGCAGACCTCGAAATTGGCATTTAGCTCCTGAACACATTGCCGTCACACGCACGAATAGAATAGTAGATTTGACGAGCACCCTGCATAACCGGTGTTCTAGGCTGTGCGGTTGTGGGCGACTGTGGGCAAGCGCAGCGAAACCAATTGTTGTACTGCATTTCTACGCTCCCACGTCCATGTTCCCCAACCGCTAACCTACCGCTGACCTGGCCGAATAACCCCCCCCCACTGGCTGCCACGGTGTGTGTGGGGGGGGGGGGGCCTCATCCAGCAGTGGATTGATTATGGCTGACGATGTTGAGAGGAGCGGGACGCGCCCAGCATGCTGCCGTGGGGTTCCCAGAGCCAGCGAGGGTGCCGCTCCCCCATTCGAGTTATAAACTCGTCGTGACGCGACGACAGGGCACAGGGGAGATACAAAGACGGAGATGGATGAGAGGAGAGAGATTGCAGACCGGAGAAGGGTGAGATAGATTAATTCACTTCTTCGGGTTAATTGGATTTTTTTGTTGTTGATGAAGATCTCAATCGAGCTCATATTTCGTGCAGCCCTTTGGTACTATCCCCGCGAAGCCCTTGATCTATGTATATGTCTCTATGCCACACTTCTTTCGCACCACCGTATGTAGCCAACCATGCTTCTCTGAGGTGCGGGGGAAGGACAACAAACTGCTTGGGGCCCTGAGCTTTTGCCTTGTTTGCTTAACGCCTCATCGCCACCCTCGGCATGGACGTCCGGGAGAGATGGGAGATGGATCTCTCCCCTCCTTCCCCCCCCCCTTACCCCCCCTCCTTACCCCCTTCCCCTCCTTCCCCCCTCCCCATCCTTCCCCCCTCTCAGAAATTAGAATGCACTGCTATCCCCCGCACACGTTCTGCAAGTTGGACCGCGCTACACTTTTGTAATTTCCTGCGTAATTTACATTTCTCCAGGCTATTATTTTAAAGTCTAGATTACATTTTATATTTTACTTTGTCTGACGAGCATTTTGGCTTTTTTTTCATCTCAACCAATGACGATGGGGGGGGGGGAATGGTGTGGGGGTGGGGGGGGGGGGTGGCAATACACTTTTTTTTTACCAATTATGCTGTCGTTTCAATTTTCCCACCGCAGTGATTAACGGTGAATAAAAAAAAAGGAATGAGTGCGTTCCTGTCCCGCTGGGCGCGAGCGTCCGTGATTTGGAAGTTGTCGACACTAATCCCGCTCGCTTGCTACCGGGGAGGCAAAACCGAATCTCTCCTCCTCCTCCTCGGCGCGGCGGCCGCGGTCGCCACTCGTGGCTAATTGGAGACTTAATCGAGATTTGTCGCGCTCGCCCAAGCGGCCCGTTGCGTTTCTCCCCCACCAAGGCCCACGAGTGGCCTCTCCCACGACGCTCTCCGGCGCCCGGCAGGAGAATCAGAAACAATTTAGCCGCCTCGCGCCCGGGGTGATAACCCTATAAATTGCAACAGATCCCCGTATTTTTTTTTTGCGCGAGGCCTCCGAATTAATGAGCGAAGATGCCGCCTTCATCCAACGCAATTTGTCCCCGCGATGGGGAGGCATGCGGCCGCATAGCATCGGGCGAAATGACTCCTTCGCCAGGGCGTGAGCCCCCTAATCACGAGCATCTCGCCCTAACCAGCGCTAATTTGTCGCCAGACGCTCTCTGCCCCGGCCGAGATTAAGCCCGTAATGAAATATTGATTCGCGATGTTTTCCGAAGCCATCCTCGCTCGCCGTGCCCTGCAGGCCTGAAGGGCGAGCTGGAGCGCGTGGAGCGCCTGTGGCGGGAGGTGAGCGAGGGGGTGCGGAGGGCGCGGGACGACGGAGGCGGCCGCCGCCCCGCCGACGGCATCACCGGAGACCACCCTACCAGGACGGAGGGGACGAGGCCTGACCAGCCGCAGGTAACGCGTGCCCCCCCCCCACCCCCCACCCCGCGTGCCCCCCACTCCCAACAAATTCCCAACCAATTTTAACGAGACGGCCACTACTGGCACGACGGCGCTCATTCCAAACGTTTCCTTAACGCCCCCGATTTTACAGCAAAACGAAAAAGAAATGCCTCCACTCGGAGTTCAGCTTGCCGTCTGCTTAAGCCGGACGCGTCGCTGTACGGCGTCGTTAACGCGGGATGGATGTGGGGGAAATTCTATTGCCCGTTCAATCGTTTCCGTGGCCCTGGGAGTGAGCACGTGCTGATTAAAATCCCTTTCGTGTCAACTGTGAGCCGGCGACTTTGTCAGTAATTATTGCGCCCAGACCCTAAGTGCACAAAACTAAAACTTTATTTTACAATTTTTAAATACATTTTTTGTATTCCCCCTCGACCGTTCGACATCTGCCACGATCCGAGGACCCCCCCCCCCCCACCCTCCCTCCCCGGCTGATTGTGATCATCGATACGGAACAATTTTAACTCGATTACGACCGCCGGGGCCCTGATTGGAATGCAGAAACCCCGAGCGCCACTCCTCCTCCTCACCGCCGCCACTGTCCGGCGCTGTGCGAAACAGCTGGAGCTGATTAAGGGCCCCCGGAGCCAGCGCAGGCCGAGCTGCCCACGAGGCGAACGGCCGCGTTGGGTTACCGCCGCTTCAAACGCTTAAATTGGCCAACGAAAACAACAAAAAAGGAAAACAGGCTTCGCTAAATGGCAGACTGTTCGATGGAAATCCCTAAAAAGCTCAAATCCATCGCAAGCCACTTGCACGCCATGTGGTCAACCTGGGGAATCATCATCATCATCATCATCAGCCACGATCAGTTCAGTGCTTGATGAAAGCTGTGCCACGATGCTACGGCGCTCAACGTCCGTCCGTCCGTCACGGTTCAACTTCACGACCTCGGCCACGCGCATCCCCATCTGCATTTGTTTCAAACGCATCAAAACGGGAAGAATTGAAATTAAGCCTCATGCGAAGTGGTACGTTGCGAGCGGCCCTCTGTCTCCCTCTCCCCCCCTCGCCCCGCCCCGCCCCCCCCCCCCCCCCACCACGCTCTCCCCCTCCCAATGCTCCCCCGTCCCCCGCACTCTCTCGCCGTCCTAAGCTCTAATCCGTATGCGCCGTCAGCTCCTCCTTGAGGCAGCCCCTTCTCCGTGACGTTCAATTTGCATTTCTTTCATGCGTGTGATCATCCCGAGCCCCTAATTCCGTGGAAAGCTTTCCGCGTCTTCGCAAGATAATTTCTTTTTTTCTTTTCTCACGAGTGATTGAAATTTCCACGTCTCCCCCGCTCGGACGTCCGTTTGATCCTCGGTCCTCCTGCCCGCCCGCCGTTGCGCCGGCGATAAAATAAATATACGCCCTGCGGCTTCCTCCCCGCTTGCTCGCCCGCGAGTCTCTCCGAGAACGCCGCACGTGCGTCGAACTTCTTTCGCGCCGTACGTAGCCAGCCGAGATAACCTAAGGCGTGGGGTTTTCTCGCCAACACACCGGTGTGCTGAACTAGTCACGAATTGGCACGTTTCGTCTACGTGACAAACCTTGCTAATTGGCTGTGTCGGGTGGCGGCGCTGCTGGAATGCTCGAGATCAAATGTGTATATTTGCACGCTGGAACACGTGGTTTGGAAATACGGACGTTGGCAAGGAAAGTGACACGGCTACAAAAAGCGAATGCATGCAGGGAGGCACAGAATCGCACTGGGAGACAGAAAGTAGAGCACCTTGATGAGCGACATCGCCACTTTGAGCGTTAAGCAAAGTGAACGGGGCTTGGGGTACGGGGAAACGGTGGCCGGAGGTCGATACTACCCATGGAGTGGCAGCCAAAGTAGGGAACGTGCCCCAAAGGACGTGCCACTGTGGAGATGGATCAATCCGCTGCTGAATGAAGGCCTCCCCGGGCCGTCGTCATGTCAGTCTGACGATGCAACAATCCATCGGGCTCCTGTGCACGTTAGACGTTCTCTCTCGGGTGCCCTGAATACCATCTGTTTAAAAAATGTGTAAAGGGAGCATGCATTTTGATCCTCTTCCCAAGTGAGTTAACGTTTCTTGGAGCGCCCTAGAATATGAATCCGTCCATTCGACTTTTCAATTAAAAAAAAAACCTCTAGCCCAGCAACTCAGACGAAGTCAGGGACATGTTGTCAAATCGATTGTTTTGTCTTTGTGGCAGGAAAATGGCCCCGAAGCATCCGAGAAGCGGCTGCAGTGGCAGGAAGTCGACATCACTGTCTCCATGGAGGAGGGGGACGACGAGGAGGAGGACGAGGAGCAGGAGGCCACGATGCGCGATCTTTGGGCCTGGTTGTGCAACGTGGACGAGGCCCTGGCGGGGACGGCTGGATGGGGCCCCCTCGCGTCTCCGCGCCACCACCAGAGCCTCCTGAAGGTCAGGGATCTGTCCCCATCATCGCTCTTACGTTGATGTTGCTGCTGCTGCTCCCGAGGTGATTGCTCCCGAGGTGACTGCTCCTGTTGGTGACTGCTCCCGTGAGCGTCACTCACTGGTTCTGCCAGGCACACCGTGCTGTGTTCGTCCACCACACTGCAGCTCACAGCAAAACAACAACAACAATAATTCCACGTATAAATCAGTTTTCATCAAGGATCTCAAAGCCCTGCACAAGACACAGCAGCAGACACGAATCTACCCATTCACTCTTCCACCAACTCACCCACCCACCCATTCACCCACCCATCCATTTACTCACTCACTCACTCACCCACCCACCCACCACACCTCCGGCCACAACACTTCTCAGTCTGCTGCTTCCCGTGCACTGCTGCTGCACTCTGGAATTCACCTCCTACTCTCATCATCATCATCATCATCGTCACTGTCGTCGTCGTCATCATCTCTTGCCCCAGGTTCTCATAATAATCATAACGATGACCTTGCTCAGTGCAAGCATCGTCCAGAGTGAATTACGTTTCATTGAATCGGGTGAGGCCATCTCGTCCGTCACACCTGCCACAGTGCCGCTTGTCGCCGGCCACTCGGCACTTTGCGCTAAATAACCGTGATGCTCCGCCTGGCGGCGGTGGTACGCGGTTCGGCAGCACGAGGCCCGGTCGCCACGCACGCTGATTGGGCCTCATCACCACGGCTGATTACTCCGAGCGTCCAGGATTGTTTTAGCGCAATCAGTTGGCAGGGGGGAGGGGGGAGAGGGGGGGTTGGCGGCGTTGGGGTGGGGGGGGGTGGGTCGACGCCTCTCCCTACGATCTACGACCAGCGCGACCGCCCCGGCGCTTCTCGGCGGTGTGACGGCGGGTTAGCCGCACTGCTCCACTGGCACACCGAGCCGCCGCCGCCGGTGTCTCCGCGTCAATCGGCGCGTCGCGGCCCGGTGCGGCTGACGGAGGAGAGGAGGGGCAGTGGAAGCGGGAGTGCGGCGGGTGCGGGCGGTGATGATTCAAGAAGCCGTCGCCGTCGCTGCACCTGCTGTGCCGAGAGGTGCAACCGGCGACGCCTGGACCGCGGGTCCGGTGCGCGAGGTCCGTTCCGGCGTTGGGCGGTCTCTCGTTCACCCGTCGTGAGAACGCCGCCGTCTGTGAGCGAAACTTTATTCAAAAAAGTAGCGACCGCATCTCGTTGCTCGTCGTCTTCCCAACTTCACGACGTTCGACGTTTTGTCAACGTTGGCGATTTACCCGCCCCCCCCCCCCTCCAGCCCCACGTCGTGGGTAGCTTCCTGGTCGTTCCGGTCAGGAAGCTACTGTGCAATTTTAAATGCCGATACGCACCTCCGATGAGCACGGTTGGCTACGTACGGTGCGAAAGAAGTTCACCATACAGTACATGGACACTGTGGTCATTATTACCATGGTCGTCATAGTTACCGTGATTGCCATGGATACTTTGGTTGTCACGGTCAACGCAGTCAATGTAATTGCCATGGTTACTGCGCTGCTCATCATTTCTGTGGTCATGGTGGTTACAGTGGTAGAGGGCGCCTTGTCATGGCTACCACGGTTGTCATGGTAACTACAGTCATCGTGGCTACCGTGGTTGCCACAATCACCACGGTAACCTCGGCCACCGAGGTCTCTCCCCGGGTTGCCACGGTAACGCACGGCACGTCTGATTCTCGCGCTCCGCCGTGACGTTCTTACGCGACGCTCGACAAACCAAGCAGATGGGCAAAACGTTTTTTTTTTTTAAATCGGGAACCGCAAACTTAAAACAACAAAAAAATGAAGAAATGTATTCTGATCTGGATCAAAGCAGGCGCCGCCCGCTCGCTCTTCATCCTCCCCTCCCCCCCCCCACCGTGCATCGTCGCCTCCCCCTTAAGAGCTGCCGGCGGACGTTCGATGATTAGTTTTACTCTTTGAGGTCGACGAGTGTGAAGTCGAACGGTGGATCGCTCGGCCCAGGTGTCGCTGTGATGTGCCTCCCCCTACCCCCTCCCCCTCATCCCCCACCTCCCTCCTTCCCCCCCCCCCCCCCCAACCATACCCTCCTCTCGATTCCCACCGAGTTCAGCCTCCCGGTCACCGCTGGCCGCGCCGTCACCAAAACTGCCCCCAGCGTGAAATCGAGGCGTGGCTTCGTTCGTCTTTGCGCGAACACGCACGGCGGCCGTTCCTGTCGATCCACTGCTGGATGGAGGCCTCCCCCCGCGCGCCCCGTGCTTGGCCGCGCCCGTCGGTGCCGGCTTGGCCAAGGCAGCCGGCGGAGCGCACGGGCGCAATGCGTTGTTGCGCCCTGCGGCGGGCCTGTGACGCCGTGGACAGCGAGAGCTGTCGGCGGTGCACGTTGAAAGATCTTGGCAAAAATTAATTTATTTCGCCGAGCATGTCGGGGAAAAAAAAAAAAAAGGTGGATATTCGGTCACGTGCGTTTTTCTCTGGGTTCCTCCGGTATTTGCGTTCAGATTATTTGGTTGCTACTATAAATTCCCACGTTTGATGATGATGATGATACAAGCCGCTTCGATGAGCTACCGCGTGTGGCCAGGTCGCCTCGGAAAAAGAGCTAATAGCTTAGTGGGCTTTACCTGGTAAATAAAATGGTTTAGTTTATTATCTGTGTCACCCGGACCCTGTAATCGGTCCCCGAGGACTGCGCCAGGAGCCGATAGTCCAGTAAAGATCATCGTCCCTACTCCGTATTTGGGGCTCGTATTTTTTTTCCGTGACAAGAAAATCGTGTAAAATCTAAACGCGTTGGCACGTAAGCCCACTTTCCAGACTCGCTCGGCTTTCAATGCGGCTTTACTCCGGTGATAAATCTGTCCTGACCCGTCTACCCATGACCCCTAACTCCTCACCCTAACCCAGGTGGGGGGGGAGGGAACGATTATTTCGTAGGAAACAAAATAATCACGAAAACCGGGTGGCGCGGGGAGGAATACTCACCGAATAGTAGCTAAATAAACACATTCCTCAAGAATGGAAATATCTTACAAATAGGTGACGTTTCGGGCAATAACCCTTCCCCAGCTAAAATCATGCCCCGCGAGTCGCGCGGGAACCTCGCCCGGCCGTTGTCTCCGCGTCAAGCCGCTTTGCGCGAATCCCCGCGAGCGATGCTTTTCGGCCGCGGCGAGGAATGTCGCGACGCGTCCATCGCGGCCGCGACTGTGCGTCCGCAGATCGGCGCCACACGAGGATTGCGGAGACGCCGTCCCCCCCCCCCCCGTCCCCCCCCCCGTCCCCCCCCCCCCCCCGCTCGCTCGTTTGGCTCCGGCTCAAGCGCCGGGGCGGTCGGGCGCCTTTGAAGCCGCCTCCCCTTTCATTCCGACTCTTCGGACCCGCGTTTCTCCACCACCACCACCTCCTCGTCAATGCGGCCGCTGTAGGACTTGGCTCGCCGAATATATTTTCTGAGGTCATCCCAAGGTTTGCGCGCGGATTCCATTTTTCATCCAGCGGCAAATTTCCACCCTACCCCCCCCTCCCCCCCCCCAGAAAATTATTTCCTGTGCCTCCACCGCTCCGACCCCTCCCCCGCTCCTCCCCCCCCCCCCCCCGCCACCCAACCGACCCAGCACTGAGCTCCCGAAAGCGGCTTCATTCAGTTCTGAATCGCGCCAAAGCGACTGACGAGACTGGGAAAAACGAGCGCAGCCCTGGCGCTAACCTTTAACCCTTAACCCGGCTGCACCGCCCTCGCCCCATCGCTGGGCTCACACGTGGGTGGAGACTGCAAAGGCGCCGGGCGCTCTCGTTGAACATCCTCTCCGCCGCCAGGTCTCGTTCCGCCACGTTAATTTCTCACCGAATAAGGATGCGGAGCGGCAGAGGAGGGCACCACGGTGGTGAGAAAGTTAACTACCTCGCCTGGTATACAGGAGGTCGTGGGTTCGATCCCACTCTGGCGCCTGCTGTATATTTGGAGTTTGCATGTCTCTCTCTCCCTGTGCTCGCGAGGATTTTTCTCCGGGTCCTCCGGGTTTTCCCTCCACATATATAATCCACGTGCGTTTAGAGTATTTGGCTGCTATCAATTTCCACGTGACCATAAGCCACTTGGTTGAGCTATCATCTGTGGTCAGGTCGCTTCTGAATTATGTAGCTCAGGGGGCCTCACCTGGTAGACTGGGCACAGGCAGAGGAGGGGAATTAATTTGGCCGCCACCGTCACGGGAGCCGATGGGAGGGAGAAACGTGGAGCTCGTATGATGCACGCTCTGTGTGCACTTAAGTGGCCCTTATTGAACCAGCTGAGAGATGGTATTGAGATTCGTTTCCTTTATTGAGAAGCGAGACCTCTGTGTGGTGCCGCCATTGTGGCTCCCTGCCGATGTGTTCTTCCGCCGCCGTCCGGCACGATGTCCGACGCTTTGAAGGCTGCGCGCGCTGCGAGCTTCTTTGGGGAACTCGGGCAAAACGTCAGACATCGTGCCGACGTTTCGCTCGACGCGCGGTATGGCCCGAATACGCTTGCGAGAGTCCACGCGTGCTTGCGTGCGTGCATGCGTGCGCGTGGAAGTTTGCAAACACCAACACGATTCCATTCTGTACTAATTGGACAGCAGCGTCAGCTGTCCCTCCTTCACCATTGTTTCATTGTGTACGAGGTCAGAGGGTTTGGCACAGAAGTTCACCTTTATTGACTGCTGATTAGCCCCCCATTCCACCTCACCTTCCACCCCCCTACCTCCCACCGCCCCCACCCACCCCCCCTCCCCCCCCATTGTTCACAGCCAAATTGAGGCCACTTCCCTGTCGATTATCCTCATCTTCCTCTGTGCGTGTACCCACACACACGTGAGAAGGCGCAGCGTGAAGTTCACGCTCGCGGCGTCGATCCCTGCACGCGAGGCTTACTGCGTAAGCAGTGCGCAGACTCGCGTAAGATTCGCACGGAGCAGCGGGCTTGCAGAGCGCCCGCCGGTTCACCGCCCCTCCGTGCTAGGCGAGGATCCCCGCCGCTTCTGC